GCCATTAATCACGTTTGTAACAACGAAACTTCGGTGTGACTAAAAATCCGTCCTTCACTGTACATAGTTCTGCAGTATTTAACTGTAAATTCACTCTGCGCCAAGATACTTCGTAGTGTATGGTTGAATATGATCACTTTGCGGATACCATTCGGACAATTTCAGTCGGACATACTTGACATTTGTATTGGACTTAAGGGGAACATATATTCTGCGAGTGAAAGTGTCCGAACGGAATATGTTCGGACATACTTGTGTATTGTATACACCCGCATAAGAACGATCAGCTTTACAGTAGCGAGCGACGACAGAACATCCGCCCACAAAATTGCGCGCACCGCAGCGTAGCGGAGGTCGTGTGTATAATTTTGTGCAGGCGGTGGCTTGGCGAGGAGTAAGCCCCAATCGTGCACTTCACCGAATGTCCAATCGATTCCTCTTGTCGGGAAAAGCGGCATACGTGCCGCTACCCGGACAAGGCCTGAGGTACAACTATTCGCATTTAATGTGTAAATCCACTTAAATGCGTGTCAAGCAAATATTTGTCCGAGTCGTTATGGTATAGTACTAAGTAATTACTCCCTCCGTTCCAAAGTAATTGCCCGAATCAGAAAATGGATGTACGCCTCCTCGAATAAAAATACAAACCCTCCAATATCAAATAATCCAGAATGTAATTATACAGGTGTAACGATACAATCGTCCAATCAAAGCATGCAAATTCTGTGTCTCAGGACCAATCAAATGACGGCAGTTGTACTTGTCCGCCAGCTCCTGGCTGAAACCTTTCGGCAGCCTGGTCATGTAGCTGCCGTTGCTGCGAAGCAAGACCTCCCGAAGGATGGCCTCGCGCTCGTCGTCGGTGAGGTTGCGCCTTTTAGGTGCCATTTCCGGAATGTTGGTGTTATACAGTGAGTGCATGTTTTATATGAAAATTTGTATGCAAAATTTTGAACGCGGGTAGCGCCGTCAACTCTTGAGATTTCCCGCTCATCATCGCACCAATAGAGAGCGCTGGCTACGCTAGTTGTAATGATCCAATCAAAGCAACGCATTTCGAATCCAGGCAGGCGACACCAGGTTTCCAATGTACCTTCGAAATATAATGAGGTGTCATGTACACCCTCCTGAAACTCGCGCAATTATTTTGGAACGAAGGGAGTAAGTTTTTATAATTCAACCAATCATAGCACTTTCACGAGACTTCATCATTAGTATTGTTGACAGTGAAGTTTATAATTGTTTTCTATAATGCAACTAATCATTGCACTTTGACGAGACATTAAGAGCATCTCCAACGGTGTTTTTATTTCTATTTCAATTCGAAGTTACGGATATAGAATAGAAATTCTTGCACTATCCGGAGGGTTTGTTGCTATTTCACGCGAAAATAGAAATTCTGCGAGTCGACATATTTCTAAAAAGTCCGGATAGTGCCAAAATAGCAACCGTAAAAACGAAGTTTGACTTTAACCTATGCTTTAGCAATAGGTTAGAATATACCGTTGGAGATGCTCTAACATTACTATTCTTGCTATTATTAAAGAGAAGTGTACTATAGTAGTATAAGAAAACTGCTCGGAGTAAATATCTGAAGACCCCAAGAAGTACGTTTGGTATCATTAATGTAAGTACCACTGCAGTAAGGTGTGGGGATTTTATATGGATAAAGCACAATACGTACTTAATAGGTGAGCCCGTTACTCTGCTGCCGGAGTAAATTGTCGGTTGGAGCAAGTTACTACCTATTTGTCGTCGTAGTTTTCAGACATATTCTGTAGGTAGCATGAGTTTGTAGTATGCGTTTTCAAAACTTTGCTATCTGCGGTTAAACGGAGTTCGTTATTTTAAAGGTGGGAATCAGTGCATGTGCTGTGAGGTCCACTAGAAGTAGGAAAGGCTCCGGTAGAAACCTTGCAACCATGCTAAGACTAATTCGCGCATCTAAACTGGTTCACCACGAGTGTAGCTGGGCTTGCACTTGGGGTAGCAACGGCCTCCAGCGAGATCTTGGTTAGTACCGCACTTGAGAAAATTAGTTTTCCCAACGTTGACTATCTTGGCACACGACAAGCCATAAAAGGGGTTCAAGCCAAGGGACTCGCAGTCGGGGAGGGAGGGTTGACAGATACAACAGCCAACGGGAGTGTAGCCCGGTAAGCACTTGGGGTACACAACCAAGTCATATTTCGCACTCGTCCTGCCCGTTGTCCTTTTCGCAGCGTTGGAACATGCCTGTGGAATTAGACACGCCGTCGCCAAACTTCCACGGGTACCCAACCCCCCGGCCGTAATCTTTCTTACGGCAAAACAATCCAGTGTCCACGAGCTCAGGGGGGCAGATCGAATGGCAGTCGAGGACTACGCGGGTCATGTTGGATGGACACTTCTCGTAGCACAGCAGACCCAGGAGCTCTTGTCCGGCGGCGCAGAATTCCGACGAACGGCCATACTGTGTACGCCTTGCCTTCAATCACGCCTCCGTGGCCGCATCGAGCTCGTGGTCGTCGTTTTGGTTTGCGGTCGCACTGGCCACGGTGGCAAACACGGTGAGGAAAGCGAGAATGTTGGTCATCAGGTCAAGGCGAGGTAAATGGCAAAGTGACGTCTGCAGATGGACGACGCGCACTTCCAGATTCGAGTCAAATTATTCCGGCACTTGTCGTATCTCAAAGGGGTGTGTCCCAGCCTTGAAGCTTGGTCGAGGGATCTTGCCGACGGAAACAGGCCCGGGACAGACTCTAACGAGGTGGCAAAATAATTTCATCGTGTTCGGATTTGCGACATATTGTACCCATTTATAACTATATCTTTGGCCAATGAACCCATCAAATCACATGCCTCACGAAATCGGCATGTAAGCTTACTATACACACACAGTAGACTCGGAAACTATGGGAAAACGCTCAAGAAATCTGGATACCGTTCAGCCAAGTTCAAGCAAATTTTCTTCCCGTAACCCTGTAACCCAGGGATACCCCCGCGTGCACATACAGTTGTATAATGCTAAATCCCCCGGGTTGAGGTGGTCAGAGTACAAAAAACATCTAACAAGAGTTTATTAGTTTGAAGGGTTTCAGTCTTGGTTGAACGGTATCCAGATTTATTGAACGTTTTTCAGGGTTTGTCAGTAGACTCGTGTTCATTTACAACGTTTCTAGTTGGAAAGCGTCAAATGGTCAAATGGTCATAAATACAGTTGTTAACAGTGAACCAGATGTTTTGATCATACATGTACTTCGAAGTACGTTCCATGTCTGTCGTTGAGTGAGTGCTTTGCAGTTCACCAAATGGATCATTTGCTCCATCGTTTTCACCATGTATGCTCAATTCTCCCACAGCTTTGCGAAGTAGAAAAATGTTCAGCAGCGTGCAGAGCAATTGGGTCGTGTGTGTCAGTTTGACCCATTGCAAACATACACACACTCTGGGTCCACAACACGTGGTTCTTGTATCCCGTGGTTGAAAGCCAAGAAGTACAGTCTATTCTTCCGTGACGTCTTCAAATGGACGATGCGCACTTCCAGCTTCGAGTCAAAGTATTCCGGCACTTGTCGTATCTCAAAGAGGGGTGTCCCAGCCTTGAAGCTTGGTCGAGGGATCTTGCCGACGGAAACAGGCTCGGGACTGACTCTATCGAGGTGGCAAAATATTTTCATCTTGTTCGGATTTGCGACATATTGTACCCATTTATGGTTCATACGGATAAGTGCTGTATACTTGATGCTCCTTTTCGGCCAAAATGTGCCTGGCTCCATATATTTCCATACAAAAAGGCTGGTTGGTTTAAATTCTATTAATCGATCAATTTTTCACCAATCGAAATTTTGAACTGTAACTTCTGTTGGCCTTGTTCAGTTATTACGGCTTATTTCGCTACAAAACATCAATACAAAGTTGGAATAGCTGTTGAAAGACAAGGCATTTTTTACAGTCTTTAGATGAATTGCACCATATAATTATATCTTTGGCCAATGAACCCATCAAAGCACATGCCTCACGAAATCGGCATGTAAGCTTACTATACACACACAGTAGACTCGGAAACTATGGGAAAACGTTCAAGAAATCTGGACCGTTCGGCCAAGTTCCTGTAACCCAGGGATTCCTCTTACCCCCGCGTGCACATACAGTAGTATAATGCTAAATCCCCGGGGTTGAGGTGGTCAGAGTACAAAAACATCTAACTAGAGTTTATTAGTTTGAAGGGTTTCAGTCTTGATTGGGCTACACTCCGTATGGCTGATGTTTCTGTCAACCCTCCCTCCCCGACTGCGAGTCCCTTGGCTTGAACCCCTTTTATGGCTTGTCGTGTGCCAAGATAGTCAACGTTGGGAAAACTAATTTTCTCAAGTGCGGTACTAACCAAGATCTCGCTGGAGGCCGTTGCTACCCCAAGTGCAAGCCCAGCTACACTCGTGGTGAACCAGTTTAGATGCGCGAATTAGTCTTAGCATGGTTGCAAGGTTTCTACCGGAGCCTTTCCTACTTCTAGTGGACCTCACAGCACATGCACTGATTCCCACCTTTAAAATAACGAACTCCGTTTAACCGCAGATAGCAGAGTTTTGAAAACGCATACTACAAACTCATGCTACCTACAGAATATGTCTGAAAACTACGACGACAAATAGGTAGTAACTTGCTCCAACTGACAATTTACTCCGGCAGCAGAGTAACGGGCTCACCTAGTAAGTACGTATTGTGCTTTATCCATATAAAATCCCCACACCTTACTGCAGTGGTACTTACATTAATGATACCAAACGTACTTCTTGGGGTCTTCAGATATTTACTCCGAGCAGTTTTCTTATACTACTATAGTACACTTCTCTATAATAATAGCAAGAATAGTAATGTTAAGGGCTGGTCTGGATGCCACCCCATAAAATTATGCCATAATCTGTTTTGGCAAGTCTGCAAAATTTTCCCAAAGTCTGATATCCCATGAAAAAAAGGAGAAAAGAAGTATCTCCAAAGTTGTCTGTATACTAGTTGAATTTTGGAAGAAATATTCGATTTCCGAGTGAAGTGCAAGACTGCAACGTGAACACAAACCTCCATAAAAAGTTGGACCAAATCGGTCCATGTTTTTTATGCCATAAAACACCCGATTCTCAAGAAAATTGTGGCATAAATTTTTGAACTTTGGTGGCATCCAGTTATATCTGCTATTCTCGGGACCAAATTGCACAATTCACTGGTCATCATGAATAACTTTTGATACTGGTATTATAAATGTCACACAGCGAGCACAAGCACCGGAGTTCTACCGTACAGCGATGTACGTATGGTGCCACAGTGAATTTAAATACTGCAGAACTATGTACTAAGTTAGTGACTGTAAGTTAGACCTCTTGGTCATATACTGCGTTTCTAGTTAGGGGAAGTTCCAAGTAGTTTTCAGATATAGCACGAACCAATCAGATTCATTTCTACCTCTTTTTTTTCTGGATTTAGAAAAAGACGTCAATGACCTCTTTTTGCTATTTTGGTGTGGCAATGTGAATTCCAAGTAAAAGCAAGAGTTGATTCGCCAAGCCAAGCGAGAAACTTGAAATGAGGCAAGAGTTGGTGGTCACGACAGCTGAAATGGCGGCGGCAATCATCGCCACAATGGACGGACGTTCTGATCGACACTCACCAAACCAACGGTTAAGTATCCGAACAGACACCTGGGCTCGTGTGCAGGACGACGAAGAGCTCGATGGTTGGTTTCACAGAAACTTCCGATGCAGCCGGGCGGCGTTTGGTGTGAGCGCGACCAAAGTCCAAGACAGATGGGGCTAGCTTCACGAGCCCTTGCATCACAACGCAGTCTTCTCCATCCGCGACAGGGTTGCCGTGACAAATTACTACCTGACGCATGGTGGTAGTCTTGCCAGTTCTGGCCAAGTCTTCGGCATGTCAAAAACACGATCACACTCATACGTCCAAGAAGTAACGCAGGTTATTTTGACGTATCTGCACGAGGTCATCCACCTGCCAACGTCGGATGATGAATGCACAAGTAACACCGAGGCGTTCGAGAGCATGTGTGGGGTGCCGAACGTTGTGGGTGTCCTCGACGGGTCGCTTGTGAAAGTCAAGCGGTTTGCTGACCATGATGGATGGTACTGCCGAAAGGGATTTCCTTCGTTCAATATACAAGGTAGAGCATTGGATACCAACTCGATTATATTATGCGTATGTTTTAGGTGTTGTCGACCATAACCTAAAGTTCATGTCATACTCAATTCGAAGTGGATCCCAAAATGACAAAGCTCTTTTCAACAAGTCTCGATTCGGACAGACTGTGCATATGGTAAAGTGTATTAATACAACAAATTCAACTTATAATGAAACAAATAAATGATATGACTTAGATTTTTTTTCGTATAGTTGATCCCCGACGGAATGTATTTCCTTGGCGATGCCGGGTACAAGCTAATGAAGCATGTACTCACTCCCTTCAAGATCTCCTATGGAATGCCGGATGACGAATCACACTACAACTACCTGCACAGCCGGACTCGTATTTGGGTCGAGCGAGCATTTGCTTTCTGGAAAAACAAATTTAGGATTTTCAAGGAAGATTTAACTCAACATACACGCCAAGGTATATTATACCAACCACAATATATGAGACTCAACGAATGATGCCTAGAAATGGCACTGTTGATCGAGACTAAATGATATTACACAACTGGTTCATCGACATTAGCGAGCAAGGTTTTAGCAAGTCGTAAAATCAATTTTCGGACTTTAAACTTCGGATGTGTAATGATGTGAAGTTCGGTTAAGTCGTACCCAACCGACTTATAGCGACCAAGTCGAAAAAAGCCCGTGGTTGGAGTTCAATCAACGATGGGGCGAAAGCACAAGAAACAAATATTGTGGACCGACGAGATGGATGAGAGATATCTCAAGGAGGTTGTCCGGCTTGGCCCGAACGGTGTTGGTCACGGAAATGCCAATGCAACGTGGGCAAATAGCACCTGTGCCCTCGGTGCAGTGGCCATTCTGGACGCACCTGCCAGTCAATATGCGACCCGAATTCTCAACGAGTCGATATACTTGATTGCATATTCGATATGGGTATGCATGCGGTCATGCTGTCTCAGTAGAGTTCAAAGTTTAAATCCGAGTGAGGTTTGCAAAGCTAACGGTAGTAGCACAGCAACTGGCACCGACAGGGTGGTAAATGCCATTGGTCTTTATCCGTTCAATTTCCGGATATTGAAGTACCACTTTCGAAGTGCGCGTGTCCATGTGCTCGAAGACAAGTTGGGAATTTGAATCAAAATAACGACTTAATAAACACCTCTAATGACAACGACGCTCGCGAGGAGTGGATGCTTATCGGAGGCGATTTGATCCCGATTGAAGCCATGAACCTTGTCGATGGAGAGTCAGCAGAGTTTGCACGAAATACCATAAAAAACTACCTGTGGCGCATGTTCAGTTAATGACGTTAACAAACAATTAACTCGCCCTATATAATTTTTATACTAAGTTGGTGGTGACGTTATGTACAGTGCCACAATATGTAGTTACCTAATTAGCTTGCGTGAATGAATATATATATGTAGTTAACAAATAAATTTACATGAACGAATCAATTATTGTTATTCGTTCTTAAGATGCTTCAACAGCGCGAGTTGAATTGCATTTCCAGCGTCGATACTCTTCAAGAGAGCCGCATTTACTGTTTTGAAGTCCGATATCGACTCTATACCTGTAGTTGATTCGAAACGCCGTTGTTCACACCACCGTTGTGCGACAGGGCTGCAGCATCCACCCTTTTGCCATAATTTCTCCCATCGACACTAATCCCGACGCAACATCAATTTTGCCCTTCTTGCGCCGTTCCCGCTGTCGCTGCATTTCAAGTTGCACTTCGAGTTTGCGCTTCTCCAGGCCATTCGACCCGTGACAGGTGTCATCCACGTTGGTCACGTCGTCCCGAAGTCCGTCGACGGTCGAAGTGTCATCCACTGATTTCGCCGGAGGGGGCGGATCACTCGTTCCAAATTCATGGTGGCCAAGCCCCGTCTTATCTCCGAAGTGCTCAACGAGAGAATCCCAATACGTTGGCAGGTCAAACAGTCGCTCCGTCGCATTTCCAGTTTTGTTGTCCATCGACCACCGAAGCGTGGAGAACTCCGACTTAACGGCTTGGAACTTGTTTTTCAACTTTGGCACCTCGATCGCTATCATCATCTTGAGATTGAACAACAAGGCGGTTCTCCGCCATGCCGCCACCAGTTGTGCCTTGCTCTTGTTGCCGTCGAAGTACTCCTTGTTCGTTTCGAAGTGACATGCAAGGAGGCACTTGACCATTGCGTCGGTCCATTTCACGTTGGGCACGGACGGACCAACCTCGCCTTCAAGGTTTGCTTCCAGCTGTCTCACGCGTTACAGTAGGTCTTTTTTGGTTGGAGCTTAGTTCGGTCCGCGTGGCTTGGCCATGAGACCTCTCTGTGTATTCTTGAAAAGCAGAAATGACCACTTCATGATGCGCTGACGGCTTTGACAGCGAAAACCAATCATCCAATCAAATCATGTCAAACTTGCCGTGATAAAAATCGATGATATGGTCGTTGGCCAATGAAAACGTTGAATTCGTGTAAGTCAAAATCGTTAAAAATCGAAGAAAATGACTCCAAAAATTGGGCACTGTACTTGGGACGAAATTTCTTTCGTTTTTGATTTGCCAAAAATAATCTACTCGGAACTGGCCCTTAGGTATGCATTTATTATACTCATTCTGTGTATCGGTAGATGTATACATTATGACAAAGTGATTCATCATTAAATATTATATCGATATTTTCGATCAAATGACTAGCTGACTGACCAAATTTTCCGTGACCGAGTCACGGAAGAATAAACTGACCAAATGTTCCGTGACCGAGTCACGGAAGAATAAACTGTACTTCTTGGCTTTTGGCCACGGGATACTAAAACCACGTGTTGTGGACCCAGAGTGTGTGTATGTTTGCAATGGGTCAAACTGACACACACGACCCAATTGCTCTGCACGCTGCTGAACATTTTTCTACTTCGCAAAGCTGTGGGAGAATTGAGCATACATGGTGAAAACGATGGAGCAAATGATCCATTTGGTGAACTGCAAAGCACTCACTCACCGACAGACATGGAACGTACTTCGAAGTACATGTATGATCAAAACATCTGGTTCACTGTTAACAACTGTATTTATGACCATTTGACGCTTTCCAACTAGAAACGTTGTAAATGAACACGAGTCTACTGACAAACCCTGAAAAACGTTCAATAAATCTGGATACCGTTCAACCAAGACTGAAACCCTTCAAACTAATAAACTCTTGTTAGATGTTTTTTGTACTCTGACCACCTCAACCCGGGGGATTTAGCATTATACTACTGTATGTGCACGCGGGGGTATCCCTGGGTTACAGGGTTACGGGAAGAAAATTTGCTTGAACTTGGCTGAACGGTATCCAGATTTCTTGAGCGTTTTCCCATAGTTTCCGAGTCTACTGTGTGTGTATAGTAAGCTTACATGCCGATTTCGTGAGGCATGTGATTAATTGAGTTTGGATTATCACTT